TAGTGAACAGAAGAGGTAGTAAAAAGGACTGAAGGTGTGGGGGAAGAGGTGATAGCGGGCTTGGGATGACAAGACCATGGGAATTTAGACACACCAAGTAAGCACTGTGCTTTCTATCACCAAACACAGACAGTATACTTCTTGTAGTCTGATTCCGGCCTCTAATTAAAAGACAGTTTACTCCATTCTCAAAGCATAAACTTTGGCTTTTTATAGTCTAAGCAGTGTGCTATTTTAAACATGTGGAGGAAATGCATTTCCAGTTACAAACATTTGTTCCTCTGAATCTGTTCTTATTTGCTAGCAAAAGATGTGGGACAGGATGTTTTACTCTTCTGCTTTGGCCTTCCTGTATTGCTTAAATCTGTTTAGAGAAAAGGAAAATAAACAAAGTGTTTCTGTTGTGTAATTTCTATAAAGTAAAGCAGCTCCCAAAGTGAAAATGTCAATGGAAAAATATTTTACTACATGAAGAAATATATATATTTAAATTTATTTTTTATTGATTTATTTTTTTGGTACCAGGAATTGAACCCAGGAGTGCTTAACCACTGAGCTACATCCMAGCCCTTTTTATTTTTTATTTCTTGCTAGGTTGCTTAGGGCCTCACTAAGTTGCTGAGGCTGGCTTTGAATCCTGAGCTGCTGGGATTACAGGCATGCACCACTGCACCAAGCATTTATTTCTTTTAATATATTAGATTACGCCAGTAGATTCTTCCCTGAAAACACCTCCCCATGCTCTGCATGTTAAGTCTGCAGAAGATCCCAATGTTTGCACTGACAAAATGAGTCCATTCRACACCCCAGAGCAAGTGAATTCTCTTGGCAGTGTCTCTTTACAAGCATAATTGCAATCATAAAAGCTTTTCAAAATGCATTTCAGAAAAATGAGCAGGCCAATCTTGAAGGTCATTCTGGATTTATCAGAAATTCAAGACACACTGTATCATAATTAAATGTATCCCCATTTTCAYGCACAACTCTGAGGACTTTTAATCAGGCATTTGGTAGACATATCCTTATAATCCATAATGTTCCATTATAGCTTTCAAAGAAATTGATTTTGGTCAAACTTCASTTTACCTTCTTTATAAAGGAGTCAGCAGTTCCTTCATCTACTAAAAAATATTTCCCTGGAATAGCTCCCTGGAACAGTTCCTGGTATAATTATCAGATTCCCTCTATGCCCATTTCCTTGTCCTCTCTGCCCCGGAAACTTGCCCTGTAGAAACAATTTTCCTTAATCAAACTATAGCCAGACTCCTCTCACTCCTATTCTCAACTAAGCCTAGATGTTGACTCCTGTCCTTGCTGGGCATGCCCAGTTTTAGAAGGAGTCCTGCTAAGTCAGTTTAGAGAGAATCCCCTACATTTATAATTCAATCACCGTACCTGCCTTTAGCAAGAATCCCTCTACCCTCTTAGTACTTTTCCACCCAGTGGCTCTCCTTTCTATCTTTGTACATAACAGAATTGAGCTCTTTTAATCTTGATACCTATCAAAACAAGTCCTCAATCAAGTCTTCCTGACTATTTTAATAAGTGTCAGAGTAATTTTTCCTCTAACAACCTGCAATGGGCAATGAAATACCCTGGCAAGAGATAGGAGGGAGAGAAGAAATGGATATCTGAACATATGTTCCCTTTCCTTTTCCCTGGGAGAGTCCATGGCCCAGCTGAAGATCTCAGCTCCTGTGGGGTAAGCCCATTCCACATAATCTTGTCTTCCACTGCCAATGACTGTTCCCTTCTCTTGCCCCTTTGGGCCTACAGATCCAATGGAGTCTCATTATTACTAGCCCCAGGGATACCACACTATTTCTGTCCCTGTGGTTTTTCCATTACTTTTCGAGTTATTAAGCTCTCCTAAAAGTATCGGAATTTGAGGATACCATCTGTTTCCTGCTGGGTCTCCCTGATACAGATATCATCTCAGCAGATTTCTTATTTTAGAAAGGCAGCAAGAACACAGGAACAGAGAGAGAGAGAGATTTTCATGTGAGCAACCCAGAAGTTTACCCAAGCTGACTGTCAAGCTGCCATTTCTCTCTCCCCTAGCTGTCTCCATACTCTGCAGAGTACTTTCTGAAATATATACTTTCCATGTAGAATTTTGCATCAATAGGGATTATTGTAAGAGATATGATGGAAGCTAGAAGTGAAAACCGTGCTAGCTGAAACTATGCTAGAAACACAATGTAAAAGAATTTGTCTTTTTTTATCTGGATCTGGTAGTTATATCCTAAGGTCACTTTCATAACAATACTTTTAAATCCAAGAAAACCTGTTTAATAACAGCAGATGTAAGTCTGGCAACCTATGTAAAAGCTGCTGAAGGCTAATTCCATATGTAGCCTAGAGCAATATGTGCCAAATTCAAGTCATAGTAGACTGCAAAATCAATTCAGTGGGTAATAACATTTTTTAAATGACACATACTAAACAGAAAATCAAAGTGAATCATATGTAATAAGTGTAAATATTATTTCAGTAAGTACACAGCAGTGTACATCTGTAGTCCTCGATACTCGGGAGGCTGAGGTAGGAGGATGGCTTAAGTGTAAGAGTTTGTCGTTGTTTTTTTGTGTGCTGCATAGAACCCAGGGCCTTGTGCATGTGAAGCAAGGACTCTACAACTGAGSTGCACCCCCAGCTASAGTCCAAGAGTTTGAGGCCAGCCTAGGCAATATATCAAGACCTTATTATTTTTTTTWAAAAAAGGGGTGCTAGGGATGTAGCTCAGTGGCAGACTGCTTGCCTAGCATGTGTGAGGTGCTGGGTTCAATTCCCAATACTGAAAAACAAAATCATCTCACCAAATTTTTATTCCCGTTTTTTACAAATCTATTTTTATGAGTTTAAAAGCACATAATGTAGAATKTATTCCTTACTATGGATGGCAGTCTTTTGACTTTTTAGTCTGAGGTTCTCTCTCCCTTTGGAGATAGCCTACATTCTCCCTTGAATAGGTAAGCAATCCTAAATAAACTTATCTATGCCTTTGGTGGGTGGGTGCTGAAATTCTTTTATTTTTGTATGACAAGAATGCAGCTGGTCCTAAGTCAAGTTACCCTTCTCTCTGGGAACTCCCTGGACTGTTCTTCAGAAATCTCTCTGGTGACAATACTACCTGAAAGCTACTGGTCTGAAGAGAACCCCCTCAGACAATACAATGAATAAAAGGCTAAAAACACACTTCATCAGCCTACAGATTCCTATTTGCTTTTTATCTCAACCCCCACTAAAAACTGTTTATCTYTGTCACCCAGGAGAAGCACATCAATAACTAAAATAAATATTTTATAGAATAAAATATAGCAATATTTTAACTAATAAATGCAGATCACAGATTGAAGGCATGCTGACCCAGGGAACATTAACAGGGCCAGGTCTGGAGAATTCTTCACATTTCCATTAAGTTCTGCTCTTCTATAGAGACGTTCATCTGCTTTGAGTCAATTTTACTGTGGTAGCAAGCAGTCAAATCCTTTTCCTTCTGAGATTTCTTTGAACACCATTGATTTCTGCTACCTGGGAGCTCCAGTACACAACAATTAGGTAAGGAAATAAAGATTGGTGCAAGGCAATGTAGCAGAGTGGAAGGAGCTCCCTCCACATTGCCCCACGTTAATCACCAAGGAACATGCTGATCATTGTACTCCCAAGTACCTACAGCTCATGGCCAGAGGACTGAGCGCAGGGAACATGCAGAAGCAATTCTGAGCCAACGTCAGGCCAGAACTGGAGGGTAAATATCTGAGCTTCTTGGCGCCTCACTCTGTTCTTCATAGTCTCAAAGTTTCCCARCAGGGCTGAGTGGCAGCCACTATTAGCAGCAACCTGTTTAAGAACAACCCTTAAACAGCTGCTTTCTCCCTTTCACATCTTTTCTGGGGCTTCCTGGAATCACCTCTCACATAAATGACTCGACTCGCATGCAAACTTTTGACTCAGGACTGGGCAGACACATCCTAAGAGAGTATGCCAGCATAACACAGGATTGTTTAGAGTCAGGGCTGCAAAAATTAGAAAGGCCTGCCCTAGAAAGCTCACCATCTAATAGAAAAATCATCTTTTTTCTTTTTTTTCTTTTTAAATGYAGAAGAAATAAAAGTTTACTATTTGAACCAAACACAAGTTTGGAGAGAAGGAAGAAGTGACACAGAAGGAAGAAGTAAGGGTCAAAGAAGCCAATTTAGAGACACTTGTTCTATCCCAAACATCTAGGGATATTAAGAACACAGAAATTTCTGCAGGAGTCAGCTGGGTAATCAGAGCTGTGCAGAGGATGCGGTCTGTGTGCAGTCTCGTGGCTGCAGGCTGCCACTTTCTTATTTACTATGATGCTTTATTTTTTACAAAGACCAAGAATTCTAGTCTTCAGCTAAAGATAATTCAAGTTACATAGAAAATACAAARGAAGAAAACATTAAATTCAAAACAATATGTTAAGAAAACTATCTACAAGTCACCTTTGATTCACCATTTTTCTTTAAGGCAGGGTTTTATTATGTTGCCCAGGCTGGCCTCGAACCCCTGGATTCAAGTGATCTTCCTGYTGCAGCCTCCTGAGTAGCTGGGACTACAGGCACATGCCACTGTGCCTGGCTTGACCTTTTTATGTTCCTTTGAAGTCATGGGGGATGGGAGCGAATACTCAACTCAAATCTTCATTCAAAGTTCTGATGAACTGCTAAATATTATCATTCAAAATTTATTATTTTTAAATATAAACTTTACATGTTCAGCTTTGCGGTCAACACTGTAAACCAGGGCTTCCTTCAGGCTGGAATTAAAGGAGACCTATGGCCCATTTTCCTTTGCCTCTTCCATCTTGGTAAATAGTTCAGCAAAGGCAGCATAGTGTAATAGTTCAGCAGCATAATTCCTTCTCTCAGGAAAGGAGCCATGAGCGCTGCAGTTAAGGCAGGTCCTTGCACGGAAAACAGCTTTTCCAAAGTGCCCAGTACACCTGYGATTGAGACTTGAGTACTCACCCTGACCCAGCAGGGATTGACGGCACAGCTGAAGGGACATTAGCCTGTGGTTTTTCTTTCTCATTTTGCTTGAAGAAGGATTTGGCTTCTTTAGATGTAGCATCCACTTCCTTTGTTACCCTGTTCCAAGGAAAAGGAGACATCAAATTCACAAGAGGAATAAAGAGAGAGAAACAAAATCTAGTAAAAAGAGAATGAGAACTAGAAACATATCCATCATAGGGCTTTTAATAAATTCTGGCTGTTGAGTTTTCGGATAAAAGTTTACTACAGTATTCTAGATAAAAGCTTTTTCACTGACTAAAGTTAACAAGTAAAACAACAATGCATGTAAATTTTATCCCCCTAAGTCCTCCCGTTACAGCTGTCAGCAAGAAGCACACTCCAGAGTCAGTCGTCTTGTCAGTCTTACAGTAAAACAATACAAAACCAAAATGTGTGAGTTATGTTCAACCACTCATTCAGAAAAACACTGGCCAAGAATAACGATAGGAAAATCCTATAAATCCACCTTGAGGGAATATAAATCTATTCACCTTCAAGGACAAATTTTCTTATTAAGGATCATCTCATTCCRGAACCTAGTACTGTGTCTTGTATACAAGTGGCACAAAATAATGGTTAAGCTTGTAGCCAACATAGGATTGGCCAAACACCACATACCCAGAGGCAAATGAGGAAAAAAATGCATGTTTACTGTTGTTACCACTAAGACTGGCATGGTTTGTCACACAGCACCACTCTAGCAACAGATGGCTGACAGTCATGCAGAATGGCCCCAAACAAGCAAGCCAATCTGTATGACAGCACCCTCAAAAGCTCACTCAATTGAGATGACAGGAATTTTGAAGAAGGTGGAGGAGTAAAGTAGGTTGAACCCAYCTGAGAGTCTGTTTCAGGAGAACCTAGGCCTCAGATCCCTTTTCCAACTCAATACACAGGCTACTGCCCTCCACTCCCAAGCCAGCAGGACCCTGTTACCCTTTGAAGAAACAAAAACCACAGAAGATCCAGACTCACAAAGGAAAGGACTAAAGCCCATTCTTAAAACAGAATTAAGTGAAAAATCTATTGATTCATTCTTCCCTTACCATAGCACCTTCTAAGGTCACATGCTCTAGAGGATAGTGTTGCCACCCAATTCATAGTGGAGTCATACCAAAAAGAAATACATATACTACATTTTGCTACTGAGGTGTGGAGTTCATTTGTTACCCAATCCTCGCCTCATCTAACGTCACTGCATCAATTCCACTATTATAAATTTCAAAAAGAAAACTGGGAGGTTAAGATAATAAAAGAAAATTTCCTTTAAGTGAAGGATGACATTCCACAAAAAAAAGCAGAAGCCAGGCTCAGTGGTGCACACCCGTAATCCCACCTACTCAAGGAGGCTGAGGCAGGAAGATCGCAAATTCCAGGCCAGCCTTGGCAACTAGTGAGACTCTATCTCAAAACCAAACATAAGATCAGGAAATGTAGGCTCAGTGATAGAGCGCCCCTGGGTTCAATCCCCAGTATTAGGGAAAGCCACAGAACACCTGACAAAACAAAATCATATCAAGGCACAACACTGTGAAATTTTAAAATAATGATGAAAGAAAAGATGAAGATCAAGTGGCCCAAGTTACAGAGAAAGGAAAGCAGCACTTATGCAACACATTTTGGTTTTGTGTTTTCTTGTTTTACTGTAAGACTGACATGACTTTTTGTAGCAAGCACCTAATTAAGCATTTTTTGAAAATCAACCAGATGTAGGCACTATGTTAAGATATTGGATGTGCACAGAAATACAACATGGCTTCTGCCCTTAAGGAGCTCACAGTCCAGCATGACAGCCAACCATGAAATCAAGTTGTGATGTTACATGATATAGAGAGCCACAGAGGGGGCATAAAGAATGTATAACGTGGAGAAATCTTTATTTCTTAGTGTCAAACTCTTATCCATATTCACTAAAAACATGTTACATAAATTGGTACATTTCTCAGGGCTTTTGATAATTGACACTAATACCAGATTACTCTTCAGATAGTATTCCTAGAAGAACTCCATTTTTAATAAGCAATAATAGATTTGGCTATCAAAATATCTTCAAGGGGCTAGAGATACGGCTCAGGGGTAGAGCACTTGYTTATATACATGAGACCCTGGGTTCCATCCCCAGCACCACCAAACAAACAGACAAAACAAAAAACAAAATCAAAACCAAAATAAACAAACAAACAAAAAACCTTCAACCCTTCAAGTAGAATAGTTAAGTTATAAACCATTTCATACACAAGAGGGAACCCTTACAGGAAAAGGCCCATTATCAGCAATAACTAATGTAAGTATTTTAAGTAGAAATTCCACTTTAACTTAATTCTCACTCAATATTTCCTGAAGTTTTTATTTGGGGAGAAATTTTTCCATGACTTATCTTTTCCAAAAGGTGAATCATTTAGGAAAGTCTGAGCTAACTGGCTCAGCTGGTTAAACGACAGGGAAAGATAAAAAGTACTATTTCTCCCCCATTTCCCAAGGTAAATAAACTATATATTTTTCAAGTAGGGAAAAACAAAACAGCAAAAMCCCCAAATTTAATTAAAAGTTATTAAAAAAACTAAAAGACTAGCTTTGTACTAACACTACCTTATGCTTATACTTACAAATTCTTCCCAGTCATCACTAGCTTTTTCTCACATTTCTTAAAGGTGTAGTAATGCTCTTAACTTGATACAAAGACAAAAAAGAAAAAGCAGAATGACATCAAGAGATTAAAAGATATGCTAAATCCACACACCAAATCTGTATATGGGCTGTCAACTAAAATTCAGATCTCTCAAGTTCCCTCAAGAGGATTCCTTATAACACCTAAATTTAAGTATAAATAATTTAAGCTTTAAAAAAAAAATTGCCAACAATTAATGGTTTTTGTTCTCCCTAGGGGTAGGAGTTATAGAAGACTTTCACTTGCCCTGTCATTTATTTCTTTAACATATGACTTTTTAAAATAATAAGCATTAATTACTTTTCAAGTATAAACAAACACATGCTTGTGAAAGTATGTAATTTATGGAAAAAGTGCCTCCATATTCTTATTTCCTTATTTTCTTTTTGATAGACACATCACTGCCCTCTTCTGGTAAATGGTGGGAATAGTTGACTCACTAATAACCATCCAGTATTTAAAATCACCGTGCATTGGTTTTCAAAAACAAAATAAGACATTTGTGATATATAATATCATATTCATAAACAAGCACATAAAATTTAATTTGATCAGAAATTTAATGATTTCTCATAGCAACAGTTAGTGATCAACTTTCTGTACTCTTTATATAGAAACTTATAAATAAATCTTCCTTTAGGTATCTTGTTTTAAATTTTTTTTTTTTTAGTTGTAGGTGGACACATTATCTTAGTTTTATTTATTTGTTTATTTTTTTATATGTTGCTGAGGATCGAACCCAGTGTTTCATGCATGTGAGGCAAGTGCTCAACCACTGAGCTACAATCCCAGCCCCTTTAGGTATTCGTATGTACCCCAAGACACATGTGAAATAATCCAAGCTGAGAGAGACTTAACTTCCAAAAATTTTGAAACCTATATTCTTAATGGTACATTAGTACAGTTTCTATATTTCTGTTATAGGATTTCTAAACCATTAAACACTGTCAGTGTTCTGCTACTTATTAATGGACAACGCAAAAGCTTCCAGTATGATTTCTGGAGGCAAAATGCATCATTAATTCACATCAATAATTATTTAATGAGTCCCAAAAATGATTAATTACAAAGGAAAAGGGTGTCTTACAATGGAGAATTCTGACAGATATTGCCTTAACTTATCACTACAAACATTAGTGATTAGTAATATTTAATATATTAAAATAGTAAATATCCCTGCTGGATGAGAAACACTGCTAATATAGTGTTTTTATCTAACATAATTAATCTGAAAGTAAACATGAGAAAAAAGTGCAACAACCCAAATTGAGGGGCATTCTGCAACACAAATGGTCTAGACTCTCTGTTCATTTAAGACTGGGTCTCGATATATTGCCTAGGCTGACCTTGAGCCTCCCAACTAGCTAAAATTACAGGCCAAGCTGGTAGACTCCTAAAAGATCAAATGCAGCCGGGCAGGGTGGCACATGCCTGTATTCCTAGCAGCTCAGAGAGGCTGAGGTAGGAGGATCAAGAGTTCAAAGACAGCCTCAGCAACATCAAGGCACTAAGCAACTCAGTGAGACCCTGTCTCTAAATAAAATACAAAAAAGGGCGGGGGCTGTGGCTCAGTGGCTGAGTGCCCCTGAGTTCAATCCCCRGGACCCCCTCCCCCCAAAAAAAAGACCAAATGCAGTATTTAATCTTGGGTTAAACCTTGGACTGCATAAGAAATATAATTAGCAAGGACATCGCTGAGATAACTGGAGAAAGTCTGAATAGAATTGTGTGGGCAGCCACTCTGAATGACTATACCTTCCAATCCTGAAGCACGAGGCTCTGACCAATCACTACAGTTCATGGTGACTTGGGTGTTGTCCCAGCTCAGATAGTAAGACTGTAGGCGTACCTGCTGGGGTTGAGTTACACTCACCTGCTCCCTTGTAATCCTACCCCTTCTGCCCTTTTATGGACAAAACTTTCTAAGAACAGTGTCCCTCCAAAAAAATAGCCCACTTCCAAATGTGCTCCYTCTCTCTTATTAGCCTCTCGTTGACTTTCTCTTGATCTCCCTTTTGGGGAGCTTGAGGCTGAAAGCCGGGGGAAGCCATCCTGAAGCTTGTGTAAAGGTAATTTGTGTTTATTTTGCATCACCACAAATTCATATGAGTTCAGCTGCCAGTGCTGGACAGGGGCAACAGACTTGTATATAGTGATACTCAAAGTAGAGGCTATAAAACTACRTATTATTGGGAAAAAAASTTAAAAACAAAACAAAAAACTACCTGTTACTGGTTCAAGACAAGATGGGTACAGAAATTATGAGTACTTAGAAACCTGTTTAGCAATGTGACAGAGTCACAATATTCAAGACATGATCAGTAGTCACTGCATTAAACAAAATTAATTTAGTTAACATCAAAACTTCTGAACTGAGTTGCAGGCAATATAAACTGTTATTCAAAGT